GGGAGCAGCAGCAGCTCGGTGCCCCTTCCCTGGCCCCCTGGAGGCTCCTCTCTCCTCCTGGGGAGGTCAGCCTGGATTCCCTGTGCCAGCCAGCGGGTGAGACCTGCTGAATCCTCTGCAGCTGCTGCACCTTTCAATGGCCTTAGTTCGGTTTCCTTCAGGTCATTTCAGAATGCTTGAGAGTAACTCAGTTCTATATTTCCATACAGAAATATAATGTGGTTTAGCAAATCTGTTCTAAATTTGTGGTTTGTGAGGTTTTGCCCTGTGTAGATGACCCTCCCGAGCTGTACACCCTCAGCCCTGTGTGTGTGTGAGGGGTGATGCAGAATGTCACTGAACCCTCCACATCTGAGTACTGGGAGCGGGCAGATATGACTGGTATGCCTTTGATGGTTGGAGCTCATATCTTTGTCTTGCTGAAATAGCTAAATTAGTATCATTAGCTCCTACTTGGTGGTTCTTGAGCACTAGCTGCAAGTAATATATTCCCCTTAAACAGAAGGTTTTATTTTATAATGATTTCATTATCTCTCAACTGACACTATTAAGAACACGATCCTGTTTTTTCCTCAACTTTTGCCTTTCACAGATGATGAATCAAAGCTACATACAGTCCACTACGAGTGTGTGTGTGAGGGCATGTCCTGTGGGAATGGAGATCGTTGCCAAGGTCAGCAGTGTTTTGCTTCCCTGAGCATTAATGATGGTGCTAAGGTTTACCAGAAAGGCTGCTTCCAAGTCTACGAACAAGGGAAAATGACCTGCAAAACACCTCCATCTCCTGACCAGGCTGTGGAGTGCTGCCAAGGATACCTCTGCAACATGAATATCACTGCACAGCTGCCTTCTTCTAAAGGTGAGAGACTAACTTACAAATGGGGAGTTCTGAGAGAGAGACAAAAGTTTTGGGTTTCCTCTGATGGGATGGGAGTGAGACGATTCTTTTGGAATCTGCAAGTTTATTGTATTTTATTCCCCCTCTCCTTTCTCAGGACAAACCTATCAAGGAGAAGCTGCAGGTTACAGCATGGAAACACTAATCATTGTTATACTGGCTCCTGTGATAGTCTTGATAGTTTTCTCTGCGGTGGCTGTGCTGATCATCCGGAGGATCCAGAAGAGCCACATGGAGAGGCTGAACTCCAGGGACGCGGAGTACGGGACGATCGAGGGACTCATTGCATCCAACGTGGGGGACAGCACCTTGGCCGTACGTAACCCGGGGCAATCCCTCTGAGCTGCTCCCCTTCCAGACCCCAGCCGTGGGACCTTTTGCTGCCAGGGGGTGCCACTTAGAGTCAGGACTTCTGTGGGGACTTTCCTGTGCTCCCAAAGCCACAGTGTAAATGCAATCTAACCAGAAGGCAGCCTTTGCAAGGCTAGATCCTTTATCTGGAGAACTGCTGTAGGCTGGAGTCGAGCTGTTCGTGTTCCTAGAACCAATGTCTAAACAGCAAAATGGAGTGTACCTGGTTGTTGTGCAGCCTGAAGTGATGTGAAAGGTGTAAAAATAAGTGCTGTCTCTTTGATATACAAAAGACAGCCCAAAAGGTTAGAAAGGTGTGATGCTAGTGGAAGAGAAAACACTGACATTTTTAACTCCTAAAAAGTTCAAATCTGACTTCCATGAGCTCAGCATAAGGGCTTTTGGGAGCCTAGGAAATTAGTGACATTTTGCTGACAGAAGAGCAGTAGGAATTTCAAGAAATGACAACTGCTTACTCAAAATACAGTTTGTAAAATATGTTCTTGTTCATGCAGTCTCTGGAAAGTAAAATCACAAAGGGAAGTGCTTGTCTTTTAAAGACTTAATGTATCTTACCCTTTTACTTGAGGCCAGAAAACAAGTGTCCCCAGCAGCTTTCCCAGGCTTTATCAAAACTGGGCAGGTGAGGCCCCAGAGGCAACCTGAGTGTGTTTCTGAAACCAGTGCAAAGCAGAGAAAATTTCTCTTCTTAGGGCCTAGAGCCCAAGTGTGGTGAGGAGCAGCTGAGGGAGCTGGGGGTGCTGAGCCTGGAGCAAAGGAGGCTCAGGGGAGACCTTCTGGCTCTGCACAGCTCCTGACAGGAGCCTGGAGCCAGGGGGGGGTCGGGCTCTGCTACAAGGGACAGGACAAGAGGAAAAGGCCTCAAGTTGTCCCAGGGGAGGTTGAGGTTGGAGGTTGCAAACAATTTCTTCCCTGGCAGGGCTGTGCCAGGCTGCCCAGGGCAGTGGTGGAGTCCCCACCCCTGGAGGGGTTTCCAAGCCGTGGAGATGTGGGGTGAGGGACACAGGGCAGTGGGGACCTGGCAGGGATGGGGAATGGTTGGACTTGATGATCTTTAATGTCCTTTCCAGCCTAAATGATTGTATGATTTCTGAGATAAAGTCTCTTCAGCATTAAGAACCTAGAAAACATTTTGCATTTTGGCATTTTCCTGCCATAATGTGCCTTCACTGCAGGGTTGAAAAGTGGCTAAAAGAAGGTCCAAACCTCAAATTTTAATAACATGCTTCTAAGTACATTGAATGTTTTCTTTCCATGTTTTGCGCAATCTCTCTTTGTAGGTGAGAGCAACTGAAAGGGGTATTTCTTTAAGTGGGGAATAACCTTCGATTTCTTCCTCAGAAAGTGTTGGTTACCACTCCCTAGGGGAGCAGTTCTGACAGTGTCCAAAAAATATCCTCACCTCCAAGTTGACAAATCCTTTGCATGCCCAGCTGTGGGAATTGATTAAAAGAGAGATCTGTGGGACCACTCAAAAAAAGAGACCTCTTTTGGGGAGCAGGAAACTGTTTCTTACATCCCTTTGTTCTGAGGCAGAGATGTATCTATAAAATAGAGCTGTGAATAAGAGCTGGAAGAGTCACTGGAAAACCCTTTCATTCACAAGGTAGTGTGAAAGTGTAGAGTTTTCAGGGTTTGAGATGGCCAGTGAGGGGTACCAGGGGAGCAGGGGAAAGCCTTCTTTAAGGAAGAGTAGGTCAAAAAGGAGTAACCAGACTCCTGGTCACGTGGATACCCCCATATGCTTTATTCAGAGGGGCTGTGTGGGAGGAGTGAGTAACCCTGTGCTTCAGCCAGGAAGGTGAGCCTGGTTCTCCTAAGGGCTTGGGGGATGGAGAGGCAACGTGGCGTGGGACAGGGGAAGGTGGAAAGGAGTCAGTTGCTTGCCTTGGGCAGTCTGATAATGGTGGAAGGCATCAAAATTAGTAAGAGCAGGGATAAAACCAAGGAAGGTGGTTCTTAGCACGGTGGTAACTGGACCAGTGGAACTCCTTGCCCAATGATTTTTTTAGGTGCTACAGTTTTGTGTCCATTCAGTGAACAATGGGATGAAGAGCCTGTATTTTGGTAAGGACATCAAAACCAGAATTTTAAAAATTTAGGCTGAGGAAGCCCCTTAGCTGAACGTGTCTGGAGGCTGGGAGGGTGTTAGAGGAGAGTATCCCTGTATCCAATTCAGCATCCCAGTGCCCGGGAGCCTTCCCTGTGCCAGCACTCTGGCTGTCCCTCTGCTGGGCGTTGCCTCTGGGTGCAGGCAGAGGTGATGCTGGTCTCCAGGGACCCGAGGGTGGCCACTCTGATCACAGGCTTGGATTCCTTGGAAAGGTGGAGCATGGAAATTGCTTCCCTCTTAGAGCTCAATCTCCACGTGCATCCTGTACCTGCAGGAGCAAGCGTGGTGCAAACTGCTGAGGCTGTTTTGCCTCAGCTTGGCCCTATATAAACTACATTTGTAAATGCTCAGTTTGGGGGGTTTTGATGCTTTTGGCTTTCTTTAGCCCCCAAAGCTTAATTCTGTGTTACTGCTTTAAAACAGCCAGCTTTGCTGTGTTCACCAGGAGAGGGGCCTGTGTGCAGCTGGCTATCTGTTAAGGCTTGACTTCCAGCTTTTACCAGCTCTTATCTCTTATCAGTGCAAGACCATTTCCATTCCATTTGCAAACCTTTTGCACTTCAGGTCGTTTAATGTTACTAGGAAACAGTGATAAAACCCCAGAAGAATAAATCGGAATTCTTTTAAAAGAAATTGGGTAAGTTGCTAGGCCTGAAGGCTCCAGCTGATGGAGCTGGTTTGTCCTCCACTGTCAGGCCCTCTTAGCTTTAGGACAGCAGTGCCTCTGGAGTGCTGGTGACAAAAAAAAATGGTAGCTCCTTGTTTCTAAATGCTCGTATAAACAGTAGATCTGTTATAAATTCCAGAGTTTTCTTCTCCATTGTGTGCTTTAAATTGCTGGTTTTGTTACACATTAGATTAGTTTACATTTAGGATTAGTCTCCATAGTATAGCAAATGCCTAAAGCCCTAAGCTTCCTAATGGGGAATGGAAAGAGCCCTGGCCTCTTCAAATCTTGTTTTTACAGTCACTCCAGATAAGGCCCTTTTTTTTTCCTTTCCCACTGATACAAGCAGGCAGGAAAATGAGCTCTCAGTTTGTGTTAGAAAGCAAAATGGCAGTCTCCTGTCATTCTTAGATTATCTTTTCCTTGAGCACTCATTAAAAAATTGTTAGGAGAAATGAGATTTCATGGGATCTTGTTAAAGCCCAGCAGTGCACTTTACTGGAAATACGAGACGGTTGATTATGCTTGTGCTTAAAATCCAGTGATACAGTTACTAATGCTCTGAACTAGTACAGAAGTACTTGCTGTAAAAGTGGCTGGGTATTAGCACTTTAAAAGGCTAATAGGATTGTAGTGTTTAATTAGGATCTTGTTCATGATTTTTTTTTTTAGAATCTTGCAGTTTAAAGTCCAGTTTCCATGCACTAAAAATACCAGAAACTGGTAAGAGCTTCTAAGAAAGACTTCTGGAAAATTTCCTGGAGTTCTCAATGGCATGTCCAATGCAGGTGATACAGGTAATACTCCTGTCACCTTGTTTGTTCTAAAGCTGTTCTCAATTATAAGTAACTGTACTAAACTTGGAAGAGTTGGGACCAAAAGTTCCCATGACTTATCTGCCACAGGGTGGCTTGTTTTTCCTTGAGGGACAGAACCACTGCTGAGGTTCAGCTGCTTTAGGGAGGGAGACTTACACTAAATCATTCAGATGTTGTCTTTTAAAGAAGTTCTAATTTGAGGCAGGCACTTGAACTCGACCAGAGAAATCCCTGTGGAGCCAGATGTGCTTCTGGCTGTTCTGCAGGTGCCCTGACTGCAGCCCCTTCACGAGCTCGTGGTTCAGAAGATCTGCTGGTAGACACCCCAGCCCGTGGGTGCCTGTGGAGCCCCGTGGAGCTGGACAGGACGTGTGTGGGGTGTTCCTGGCCGGGGGGCCTCCGTAACAGCCAAGTAGTGGGTGATCTGGTTTCTGTTTTCCCCTCACTTACTCTATTCACTCTTAGCACTTGTGTTTGGGACGTGATGGCTCAGCCAGAGGTGTCTCGTGGCTTTGAAGTGCCACGTGGCTTTCAGGGCATGTGTGCAAGCCTGATGGGTGTGATGCAGAACCTCTCGGGTACCTGCTCTGCCCGGGGTGGTGTCGGGAGGGTCGGGGGGTACAGCAGGGTGTCCAGCCAGCTCTGGGTATGGTTAACCAGCAGTTCACCAGTGTTCCCTCTCTCAAGAGCAAAGTGGGGCAGGCAGGAGGAGCATGGCAGTGAAGGTTTCTGCAGCAGCTTCCTCCTGCTCAGGGACAGCTGAGGCTGTTACAGCTGTGGGCTGTCACCTTGATGCTCAGCTCACACTGACCAAGAAGACACTTCTCTGTAGGTTTTTTCAGCAAAACTGGCTCCCCTTCCCAGACTGCTTCAGACAGAGTGGGCAGCTGAGCAGGGATGGTGTGCAGGCCATGGAGTGAAGTGAAAAAGCAGGTTCTGTCACAGGAATGTGTTGGCTTTCTCTGTCTGCCCATTTCAGTTACAAACTTTCAGCTGTTTGTAGTAATAAAAAAGATCAAAGTTCTGAATATCTCTTTGAAATAGACATTTATTTGTGGGGTTTGTAGAATAGCTGTCGAGAATCTCTGGTACCCCAGACTGCTGGGGAACAGCCTTAGCTTTGCATGGTGAAAACACAGTTGTGTTCCTGTGCCCCTCTAGTCATCTCTCTAGGGACTGGAAGGGTGGGAAGAGTCTGCAGGAATGGTCAGAAGGAAATGCTGCCTTTCTTTCTGCTAACTGTATAGGGATGAAGGTTTTAAGTATAGAAATCAGAGAAAGTATATTTATTTATTTTTGAGGCAGCTCAGATTATTGCAAAACTTAGAAAACTTTGGGGAGGGGGAAGTTGAATCTGTTTGAAGTAGGTGACCCATACAGAATAGAGAAAGCATAGGCTGAGGGAAGAAGTGGAGAAGAGGCTGGAATTTGCTGCAGAGGAGAGCTCATAGGCTAGGAGTGAGCTTCCAGGCAGTAAATTTTGTTATTTTGTTGATAAACAAAATGAGGTATTTATTAAACAAAATGATGCTGCAAAATGTATTTATTTTAAACATGTATTTATTAAACAAAATGATGCTGCAATGCCAAATGCAAGGTAGAGACAGAATAAGAAGCCTGAGATGGAGGTGGTGCTTTTGTTCTCTGCTCTTTGTTGTGGTGTTTGTGGAACTCCCGGCAGGACGCGGTTGTGCCGCAGTGGTCGCGGCTCTGCCAGAGAACCCACAGAGTTCCTCTGTGCTTGGGATGTGATTCACGTGGTAGAATCCCGTGAGGGGTGTTCTCTGCCCAGGCTCACAACGATGGCAGTGGGGTGTCCTGATCCTGAGGGGCCGAGTGGCATCGCCCGAGCCGTGAGGCGGCAGTGAGCGCTGGGCCTGCCCTGGGAGGGGCTGTGCTGTGCACGCAGGGGGAGTGCCCTTCGTGTCTCATAACTTCTGCCTTTCCTTTTGGACAGGACTTACTGGACCATTCCTGCACGTCGGGCAGTGGTTCTGGACTCCCTTTCCTGGTGCAGAGGACAGTGGCTCGGCAGATCACGCTTGTGGAGTGTGTGGGTTAGTGCAACTCCTGCTCCTCTAGTGCCCGGTCTCGTAACACCCGGAGAAAGCTCATCTCCCATCCTCACCCCCTGCTTGTCCTCAGTGGCTCATAAAATACACAGAACTTCTCAGGATTCACCTTAGACAACACGTTTAGTTTTGGCAAGTGAAGTGAAGAAGTCAAAAGTCCCTTTCAGATCTCTTCAGAAGAAAGGGGCAAATACCATCGGTGCTTTCTGATTGAAAAATTTAAGCTTCAGTTAGGTGATGCTAGAAAATACGAATTAGGCTCCTGTGATACTTTGTAAGCTGCGTAAACTATATTTCTAGAAAATCAAGATCAATTTGAACTTTGAAGCTGTCAAATGGAAAAAAACCCCCACCATTTAGTGACCAAATGTCTAATTAGAAAGCTTCAGAAATAGAAAAGGATCAGCTGGATTTGAGATATGGAGTTGAAGCATCACGCAAAGTGCAGGCAGTGATGTACTGTTGCTTTAAAGAAAGCATCTTTCTAGTAATTCTTCCCTAAAATTCTCCTGGGACATTAGGTTTTAAATTTGAATTTAGTAATTTTAGGAAGCATTTTGGGTCAGAGATAACCCGAGGCAGTGACATTGAGCCCAGATGCTGTACTGGCACTGGAGAGCTGAGGAAGGCACGATGGTGATTGGTTCTAATAGGGGAAAAAAGACTCTTTTAAACATGTGTGATGCTGCTGCTCTAGTGATTTGATCTCAGAACAGTTTAACACCTTGCTGTAGGCCACTAGGGGTTTTAACCCAGCAAGGTGTTAGGCATGTCCTGATTGCCACGGGATGGGGGTGGCTTTGGGGGAGGTTGGGTTTTCTGTAGTGGTTGGGTTTCTGTCTTGCAGGGTGGTGGTGGTTTTTTGTGTTGGCCTGGTGGTTTTGTTTTTTCCCCCATCACTCTGCATTGTGCCTGGCTGTGCTGACGCTGTTGTTGCCAGGGCTGGAGATGTGGCAGATGTCCAGGCTGTGCCCCAGCGTTAGTGTCCTTCCTGCCCACGGACCCACGGGCGCTCCCGCGGCTGGGAGCTGAGCTCCAGGCCACAGCTCTGCACCCCCAGAGCGTGCTGGGGCCAAAGGGCAGTGCAGCACTGCTGTGAAGGGCTGAAATGCCCACCCGGGAGTGATCACACTCCATCAGTGAGGGGTTTGGGCTGTGACCCTTCAGCTGAGCCTGCCCTGCGAAGACTGCTCATTGACAGCTTTTACTGTGTTTTTTCCCCTACCAGGAAAGGGACGTTATGGAGAAGTTTGGAGGGGTCAGTGGCAAGGAGAAAATGTTGCTGTGAAGATCTTCTCTTCTAGAGATGAAAAATCTTGGTTCAGGGAAACCGAATTGTACAACACTGTATTGCTGCGGCATGAAAATATTTTAGGTAAGTGGGGCAACCATACTGATGTGTCCTGGTGCACAGAGGAGAGTTAACAGGACAGTTCATCTTTCCCAGGTATCTTCAGTCCTTGAGGTTAGGTTCTTGTCTTTGCAGTAAATAGTTGAAGGGAAATTTTAAGGGGGAGACTTGCCAGGAGGATGCTGGAACCCGAGTCTCAACTGGAAAAAGTGTGGTAGCAACCATGAATCCTTGTCCTCCTGCAACAGGCTAGCAAGAAGCAGTCAAGCAGGTGAATGGATGTTTGGCAGCAGAGCGTGCAGGGAAGAGTGGAGGTGCCACCAGCCCACGTGCTGAGAACTCGACCTCGCTGCTGGCGTTGCAGGGCAGCCAAGGGAGTGCTGCAGGGGGGTGAGGTGGGGAGTTCTGGGGGATCTGCTTTCTTGTAACCTCAGCTCACCTGGGACAAAAGAAGGGGGAGAAACTGGGCAGGAGTTTATAGTGAGATCTGAATATTTGAATGCTTGTCCTTGTGCCTGAGTGAAGTGCAGTACAACTGCATTATTTTCCATTGAACTGTTCTGCTCAGGGACAGCCTAAGCTCCTTTGGTGTTTGAACCTCAACTACAGTTGCCCCTTTGTGATGTATCTCTCTTCCCTGTAAATATGCAAGAATGATGATTTTGAGTTTTCTGCATCTCTTGTACCTTGTCTGCTCTCTTCTGAGAGCTTAGTGGCTTTTTGGGTTGTGAGCCATGGCTGAAGTTGAAGCAGCCCTTTTGATTCCTGGCAGTCATAACCTTCTTCCAGTGGTGTGCCACCTTTGCAGATAAGAGCTGCAGCATGTTTTATGAGTGCTGACATTACCTCACCCACTATTTGTCTGTCTTCCATCAGTTTTACTTGGGCAGCTTCGTCTTGTTTCTTGTCAGAGAATATTCCTTGGCTCTAAAGCTATTCCCTGCTACACATTTGTCTAATGTTTCCTGAAGCAGTTCCTTTGTTACTATAAAAATAATTTGGTGGCCTCCTAAAATGTGAATTATTGAACTTTCCTTCCCGGGAGAGCAAGTAACTTGCTGCAATTACATTACACGTTTCCCATGTTCCTCTGTCTGTGTTTAGTCTTTCTTGATAACTGTCAAATTTGTTGGCTATTTTATAGAATTTTTTTAGATGCGATATTAAACAATATCACAGATTACAGAAGTGTCACATTGTGTGGAAATGTGACTTCAGGAGAGAAAGCAGTGGGTGTTCTTCCTGACAAATGTCATATGTGGGCTTTTAATAAACATCATTTGTTCCTCTAACTTGGGAATAAATCTTGTGTTGCTTCCCAGCTGAAGCCGTTGAGGTCAACAGTGTGCTGCTACATAACAAATTCAGAGACGTCAGGAAGGGAGCTACTCCTGAATTTTGGGTTCAGTTTTAAGGCACCAAATTTTTTTTATAGAATCCTAGGATGTTTTGGGTTTGAAGAGACCTTAAAGATCATCTAGTTCTTCAGGTTCATGAGTTTAGAAATTTTTTCTCTGTAGAAAAACAATTTTCTTTGTAGAAAATATTGTGAAATACAGCCATGATGCATAAAGGTGCTCTGCTGTGCTTCCCCGTGGAAGGAAGCTGCACAGCAGTTGAACTGTTTAGTGTTTGGAGTAGTAGCATTGTTGTTCTTTGGGTTTTGCTATGCTTACCTTGTAGTGCTGCCACACTGTCCTTGCCCATCTGCCATTTTTTATATCATTGAATCACAGAATGTTTTGGGTTGGAAGGCACCTTCCAAGGTCATCTAGTCCAACCCCCTTGCAGTGAGTAGGGATGTCTGCAGCTAGAGCAGATTCAATGTCAGCTGGTATGTTTCCAGGAATTGGGGAACCAGCCACCTCTCAGGGCAAACTGGGCCAGGGGCTCACCACCCTCATAGTGAAGAATTTCTTCCTTCTCTCTAGTCCAGGTCTCCCTCTTTAGTTTAAAACTATCACCCCTTGTCCTGTTACAAAAGGCACTGATCAGAAGTCTGTCCCCACCTTTCTTGTAGGCCCCCTTTAGGTATTGAAATATTGCAAGAAGGTCTCCCCAGCTGGAGCCTTCTCCTCTCAGCTGCCCCAGCCCAACTCTCTCCTGCTGGGCTCCCAGCAGAGGGGTTCCCCCCTCGGGGCATTGCTGGGGCTCCTCTGGCCCCGCTCCAGCAGCTCCCTGGCTCTGCTGGGCTGAGGACTCCAGAGCTGCCCCAGCACTGCAGGGGGGGCTCCCAGAGCTGGCAGAGGGGCAGGGTCCTCTCCCATGGCTCTGTTGTGAGACAGTGAGCAGTTAAGATGAGGCCTTTGGAGCCTACAGCAGTTTGAGCAGTCCCGTAGGTCTGATAATTGGTCAGGCAGCAGCAATCCCCCTGTGGCCTTTTAACCAAGCTCAGATGGTTGGGGAGCAGGTGCCTGCTGCAGTGGGGTGTGTTCTCCAATCTGTGCTTGGCTGGGGGGGTGACATGTCCTGTGGGCACAGCAAGCTTCTGACAGCCCAAGGTTGTTTGTTGGAGGTGCTCTGAAGAGGCTGAGCTTGGCTGTAAGGGTGAGGCTAGCACAGCAGAGTGTTTGCTGGGGTCTGATGTGTATGTCAGACACCTCTAACCCTTTTCTCAGCAGCCTGCACTGGCTGCTTGTTGTCCTTAAGGGTGTTACTTGTCTACCTGAGGTGCATTGCTGCTTTCCAGTGTGATCCTGTTGGGTGGACAGCAGCAGATGTGCTACAGCCTGCATCAGTTTTTAACTGGGAACTTCCCCACCCCTAAGCTCTTCAAGTGAAGGGAGAAAAATACAAATGATGGGTTTTAAGTATATGGTGCTCACAAGCAGTTGTTTGGTCTGACTGACAAAACAGATAAATGCATTCTTGTGAATGGACTTGAGTTAGAGTTCCAGAATGTCAGCTCTTTTTCCAGCCCCTGCAGTCTGTTCTCAGTGCAGTACAATCATGGAAAAGTTTTAATCAAGCAGTTTTAAATTCCAGGAGGGGTCTTCAGTATTGATTTGTTTCTTGGGGGCGTCTTGAATCCATTGAATCATAGAATAATTTCAGTTGGAAAAGACCTTTAAGACTGAGTCCAACCATTAAAGGAGCTCTGTAATTTTTTCTTCTTCCTGTCTTTCTAGGTTTTATTGCATCTGATATGACTTCCAGAAACTCCAGTACCCAGTTGTGGTTAATTACCCACTACCACGAGATGGGGTCTCTGTATGACTACCTGCAGCTCACCACCCTGGACACCGTCAGCTGCCTGCGCATCGTCCTGTCCATAGCCAGTGGTCTTGCACATTTGCACATTGAGATCTTTGGAACCCAAGGGAAACCTGCCATTTCTCACAGGGACCTGAAGAGCAAAAACATCCTCGTGAAGAAAAATGGACAGTGCTGCATAGCAGATCTGGGTGAGTCCGTTTCCATGCTGCGGCACGGAGTGCCTTCCTGCGGAAGGCAAATACATCGGGTAACTCCAGCCATACGAGTCTTGAAGTAGCCTTAAAATCGCCTTCCCAGGGTGTGATGTTGCCCTGAAGGATGGCAGCAGCCACTAGGTGGCACTTGGAACCTGCGAATGTCCCTCTGCTGTGGAGAGCCCTGTTACCACAGGTCTGATGTTTTGGACTCTTTTTTGGGTTTTCATTGTTAAAGTCCACTCATGGATCCCAGAAGGCAGCAGTTGCTAGCCTTGAGCTCATTTCCAATCTAACAAACGTCCTTCCACTGACAGTCTGAGAACCACACACCTGCTGTCCCAGGCTCCATGGGTCCATCCAGCTCGAGGCTCTTGCCAGACAATTCAGCAAACCCCAAACTGGGTTCTTCATGACCAGCTGGCTTTAGACTTCGAGTTGGTAGGATGCTGAGAAGCAGTTGCAGCTCTGTGGCTTGTTCACATGCCCCAGGGCTGTGCCTGACAATATTTTTTCCATTTCTTCTGAAGACAAGGGCCAAAATAGTAGTAGAACGATAGCTTTGGGGAGTCATGGGCTGGATGAAAAGTGTATTGGAAGATTGGAATTTTTTTCCTTAGTATTTCTACTACATAGTTCCTGCCACTTTTGCCTGAGGGACATGAGATGCACCCAGGGCAATGTGCAAGCCACACACCTGGGCCTATCTGAATGTGCAGAGGGAACAGCAAGTGACAAAAGGAGCAGTAAATTGAAAATCCAAAACTTCAGAGATTAGCTTTTAAATAAACTTGTCCATCAAATGTATTTAAAGTCTTGCTCGAATTTGTCCATCATGTGGAAGAGGAGGCAGCAGATACCAGCGTTGACTGACATCACACTAGTCAAGTGATATCTGTTATTAATCTAGAGGCTTCAGAAGTTTGAGAGATTTTGTGAGAGAGCACAGCAATAAACACTTCCCCGATAGTTTGGATGGTGGCAAATAGCTCTTTTTTAAAATGTGAAATCCTCAGGCTTGTATCTGACCTGTTCTTTGTTTGCTCCTTATCCGTAAAGGAGAGTTGCCAGGGGGTTTGCTGCCTTTGGCACATATTTGAGTCCTTTTTGTCTGTATAGCTTCTGATTTTTTTCCTCCTGTTTCAACACATACACCACTCAAGAGCAAGAAGCCGTGGTGGCCAGCGGAGCCAGGGGAAAACAGCAGAGGGGGGAGGAAGGCCAGCCCTCCCCTGTCCCCGGGAGCAGGCTGGTGCTGCTGCCCAGCCCTGCATGGGGCTGTCCCTGGGGCTGCCCCTGGCACCCACCCCAGTCCCAGGGCTGCAGTGCTGTGCTGCCTGCACGTGCCACCCGGGCTGTGGGCATCCTGGGCACACTGCTGCAGCAGCTGGGCTCCCACTCAAGCTTTTGCTTTTTTTTTTCAGTTTTCTTTTTCCTCTCTCTTTCTTTCCCCCACTTTTCTATCTTTCTCCCCCCTCTCCCTTCTGTCCCTTTTCCCCACTTTTTTTCTGAATTGCTATTTTAAAGAGAGAGCTTCTGTGGCAAGCACTTATCCACCCTTGAGCTGCCCGTGCCCCGAGCTCTGCTGGGGTGCCAGGAAGCTGCAGTGGGGCAGTCTGTGTCCTGGCACTCCCACAGCAGCTGCCGTGGGGACAGCCCCCGGCCCCCACTGCTGTCCCCTGGCCCCATTGCAACACTTGCCCAGCTCTGACTGCAGGGCGCCGACTCGCATCCCTCAGCCTTAGACCTTTGACCTGTCAATCTGCTCAATCTGTTTTGCCCAATTTGGACGGAGTATTACGATTTTTATCAGTGTTCTCCCAAGTCTTGATGTCTTCAGAGTTTGCCAGGAAATCTGTTTTCCGACCTTTGTTTCCAGTGTGCAAGTTTTTTGTGGGGGTTTATTTTCTTGGCTGGTTGGACTGGGATTTTTTTCAATATTGTAACCCATACAAATTGTATAATATTAATCTAAACAAATACATAAATGTGTGCCTGTAGTTACATGCCTTCTATATATATATATGTGTGTGTGTATGTAGACATGTGCCAATACATACTTTCCTCTGGAGAGCAGGCTCTCTGAATTACCTTCTCAGCAGTCGAGGGGTTAGTAGGTGGCATCTTTCTAGAGGTGCCATAGGCACTTTCTTAGCAGCTTGCAATTACTTGCAGTGCATTTAAATCGTACCAAAGTCTTGGCCAAGTTGTTATGTTCAAGTACAGACTGGGTTGTTTTTGGAAAGGAAGAAAAATTGATCTGGTGATAGGTTATTTTTTTGTGGGACTGAGTTAAAAATCTTTTTATCTAAAATAAGCTCACATTAAGTAAATCAATAGTATATGTCATTCTTCCAAGATTTGATGAGGAAATTAGGGAGAGTTTGTGTCATCTTTTGTATTGCTTAGTGATGTCATGCGCCTGGTGCTGTTCAATTTGCAGTGTGCTCTGTTTACCATGGCAAAACGAGTGCTCTGTGTGTTTCCAAATTTACAGTAATTTAGTGCCTCACATAATGTTCCTTTGCTTAAATGTTTGGTAATTAGTTGAAACCAGGTAGAGTGGTTTTGGCTGACTCATTTTAGATCAGCTTGAGGATGTTTATTCTTCAAGCTGCTGCAAATACAGTGTTTTTTATTTCCCAGCTCTATTTTTTAACTTGTGTATATCCTTCATGCATTGTTTTCCTTCTCTCTTCCCCACAGTTCGGATACAGCCACCTACCCAAAAGTTCTATAAATAAATTTGAATGCTGTGTACAACTGTTTTTTTCTAAGTAACAGATGCTTGGCCTTCTGTGTATACGTGCCTAGAGCGCTGGTGACATCCAGTGGCTGCAAAACACTTAATGACAGTGTTTTGCAACAGTGCAATAACATCCTTCACGGTCAGCCCTGAGGAGATAACTGGTCTAAGTCTACGGACACGGTGGCTGTTTTTTGTAGCCAGTTTGGAGCTGACCCAGTTGGCCTTTGGACAGTTGGACTCGGCTCCTTTCTAAGAAGCTGTGATGGGTGTCACTGCTGACATGTCACTTAAACTTATGCTGCTGTAGTTTCAAAAGGGACTTAACAGTGTTTACTTTTCTGTCCTCCAGGCCTTGCAGTTATGCACTCCCAAAGCACGAACCAGCTGGACGTGGGGAACAATCCCCGGGTGGGCACCAAGCGCTACATGGCTCCAGAGGTCCTGGACGAGACCATCCAGGCAGACTGCTTCGACTCCTACAAGAGGGTCGACATCTGGGCCTTTGGGCTGGTCCTCTGGGAGGTAGCTAGGCGCATGGTTAGCAACGGTGAGTCCTGGGGGAGGTGTGCAGCCCAGGGCCTGGCTGCTGCTCTGGCACGGGCGCGTCCGGCAGCTGGACCCCAGCGTGGTGGTGATGTGGGCAAAGGGTGGGTGGCTAGTCAGGCAGGAGGAGAGTCTGCTGAACATGAGGTGCTCATTTCTCTTCTGATGTACTCTGCGGGTTGGCAAAAGTACGTCATAGGCCGTTGTGAAGACCTGCTTGTTGCCCAGTATTTGGAGACTCTAGGTTGCAGTTCACATCAGTGTGACTGCCTTGAGAATTTAAGCTGTAACTTCATTGCTTTTGGTGCAGTTTTCTGTTCTGCACACTGTCCCAGCAGTCTGTGTGCCAGTCCCCATTAACACGATGGGCTGGCTGAGCAGGGTTTGATTCGTTTGCTGTGCAATAGGAGGGACCCTGCTCGTGGCTGTGGGACCAGCAGTGCTCATAGGGGCACATGCTGACATGTGGGCACCGTGTAGGGTATTTCAGAGTCACAAATGGATGGGTTTGGAAGGGACCCCTGGAGATCATCTCATCCAACCCCACTGCTCCAGCAGCTCACCCACAGCAGGGTGCCCAGGGTCACATCCAGGCAGGTTTGGAATCTCTCCAGAGAAGGAAACTCTGCAACCTCTGTGGGCAGCTGCTCCACTGCTCCATCACCCTTGTATTGTCTGTTTGAACATGGCAGTTGGCTACACAGTGACAAAACTTCATATATGAGCTTTTTGGTTTTGTTGTCAGTCTTGAATTTTGAGGAGTTCATCTGTAATCTGTCCTGCCACAGTGTGGATTTGGAGGCTGGTTGCCCCTTGTGGAATGTTGGATGTCTCGCTCTCTTGCTTTACAAGTGCATGTGTGTGTGTAGTGCACCTGATGTGCCTGGAACCAGGCACGGCCTCACTAGGGACACTGGGCACACGAGGGGGTTGGTCGGTTCCTCGGCTCTCGGGACACCTTTATCCTGTGTTCTGGGAGGCAGTGGGAGGAGTGTCAAGACTGAAGGGCAGCCCTGGAGAGTCGTGTGGTGAATGCAGCTCCGAGGAGGGCCAGTGAACCTCCATGCTCTGCAAAAGGTGCCTTGTGGCAGGTGAATTTGTTTCTCGGCGTTTCGGCTCAGGCGCCTGTAGAGCAGCTGTAGTTCTGTGGAGCTGGGGCAGCTCACCCCATGCTGGGTGGCTCACGCTGCCTGTGTGCTGGCTAGCAGGTGCTGCTCTGCTGCTGAGTGCTGCTTGGCAGGTGGCCTGAACTCTTAGAAGGGTTTGTGCTCAGTGCTCCCGTTGTGTGGGGAAATGCTGTTCACTGACCCAGCTGCTAAAGGCTGCCTCTCCCTTCTGTGTCTCACCAGGTATTGTGGAGGACTACAAGCCACCGTTCTATGACTTGGTTCCCAACGATCCCAGCTTTGAAGACATGAGGAAGGTGGTCTGTGTAGATCAGCAAAGGCCGAACATTCCCAACAGATGGTTCTCAGACCCTGTAAGTGGCTGTGCCTGTGAGCAGAGCTTTCACCTTTTGAAATAGTCACGAAAGTTACTGCAGTTACCACCTGAAATGGAAATTATCTCAGTGCCACTTGTCAGGAGTGTTACCTCTATGGATTTCAGCAGCATGCTGGTGTGGACCTGGATGTTGGAGCAGGAAGAAAACATAATGAGAACACTGAATAATAATTTTCAGTGGTGCTCAGTGACAGGACAAGGGGCAATGGGCACAAACTGGAACCCAGGAGGTTCCATCTCAACAGGAGGCAAAACTTCTTTATGACCAAAGTCTGAGCTATTCACAGATTGGCTAATGAGAAAACTGAATAATAATTTAATTTTCAGTGGTGCCCAGTGACAGGACAAGGGGCAATGGGCACAAACTGGAACCCAGGAGGTTCCATCTCAACAGGAGGCAAAACTTCTTTATGACCAAAGTCTGAGCTATTCACAGATTGGCCTTTCAGTAGCATGATTTAACAGGAAATATTTTAAAGCTGCTCTTCTCTCCCCAAGGGGAGGCTTCTTGAAGGGGCAGGTAGCCTGTGTAGGACATCCTGTGGCTTTTAAGTGTGCAGATTGAGGACAGTTTTGGTCTTCCTCCTGCCTACAGGATAAGGGACTGTTGTTCTCTTTCAAAAGCTACTGCAGAAGTTTATTTTTCTTTGTCACAGCCAGTCTGCACTCCAGGTGGTTGTTCCTTGTTGCTGAAGCTGTGGAGGTCGGGTTGACTCTGCCAGGTGGTGGGGGCCAGCAAGGCCAAGAGGTGCCCTCGGAGGTTTGGGCTGTGCTGCCACACAGAGGAGCCAGCTGCAGATCATGGCTGCTTCAAGCTGCTGGACTCAGGGGCAGAGAATCAGGCTCCCTTCACTGGAGAGAGCCTCTGTACAGTGTGTTCATGATCAGAAACAACTCCAAACTCCATTGAAGTGACCTAACTTGTCACTCCAGCAGCCCACTGCCCAGGCATTCTCTGGGTCTAGCCAAGTTACCAAGCTTGGGCTGTTTTTCAGCACTTGAGAGCTGTATGTTTGCTAGATAGCAATAAACTCTCTGTAGAACCTGAGAGTGGAGCATTAATAAGGGAACGAAACGTTCCTGTGTTAGTGCTGAGCCCAGTGTAGTGCTGAGCCCAGTGTAGTGCTGAGCCCAGTGTAGTGCTTTCTTGGCTGGTGGTTTATGTACTTACCTGTGTATTTTATGGCTTTTTCCACTCTTTTCCCAGACGTTAACATCTCTTGCCAAGCTGATGAAAGAATGTTGGTATCAAAACCCATCGGCGAGACTAACAGCCCTGCGAATCAAAAAGACTTTGACCAAAATTGATAATTCCTTAGATAAACTGAAAGCTGACTGTTGACCCTCTTCTCGTGGTGCTCTCCTGGTGGAAGGCGTTTGCCTGGCTCCGGAGCGGCCCGGCCGGACGGTTTCTGGGACTGGTCCCCTCGTGGCCACCTGAGGAGGCAGCGCCGGGGCGCGGCGGCCGCGGGGC